GCCTTTTAAAAGAACCCTAAATTTCTGTAAAAAATATAACTAGAAGGGGTAATGATGACATCGTTTAGAGTAGAATTATGATTTTTTTAATTACTGCTAGTTATTAATAATACTTATAAAAGCGGATACTTCGTTTGAAACTGTCACCTTAGTGAAATTGGTTTACATCATTGTTTTTTGAGTTATCATGTACTGAAAGAGAAGAACAAGAAATTAAAACTTTTTTGCTATGATCTTTACAGACATTCCCAGAACTTGTGATTCAGTCATTACACAGATATTGTTATAAAAGGAAACACTGTGTAGTATTGTAAAGTTCTGATGATCTATTGAGGAGATATTAAAAATACCATTTCGATGAACAATCCGGGCCATCCCTACATAGACAGTGCTACCATCTGCCTGATAAATGAACCGTTAATGTAATTATTAATGGTGTGGACATTACACATATATAACATACTGTTATAGCTATTAAAAAACGGGTTCACATACTGTCTAGGAAAACTACTAACATGTTATTTACTACTTTAGGTGCATAAAAAAGTGTTAGACTGGCAATGTCTCAAAATCAAGCCTTAAACTAACATTAAAGGTTTGCCTCGATTATTAGTGTTTTAAATCATTTAATAAGTATTTTACAGTATTACATGTGTGCATCAAGACTTTGTGACGCTGTTCAGACGTTTTACATTGATGATATTATTTAGTGTGTAGATGCTAAAGTTTTCATTAAACAAACCACACCTATAACATGCATGAAATTAAAATTAAGATTTTTCCTAATACTTTTTAGTCTTGAAGATCTCCATTTGTAACAATTCGGAAAATTTTAAGTCAAATAGCAGAAACCTCCCAATATTTGAAAGTTTGTTCGTGTTGAATTTCGCGCAAAGCTACACGAGGGCTATCTGCGCTAGCCGTCCCTAATTTAGCAGTGTAAGACTAGAGGGAAGGCAGCTAGTCATGACCACCCACCGCCAACTCTTGGCATACTTTTTTCACAACGAATTGTGGGATTGACCGTCACTTTATAACGGTCCCACGGCTTAAGCAAAGGGCGAGCATGTTTGGTGGGACTTGGATTCGAACCCGCGACCCATAGATTGCATATTTGAAAGGAAATAGTGTCGGCATATTAAACCATTTTCGAATCAGGCTAAATGGCGCGCGCCACTGCAATTGTAATGACGCTGAATCAGTTGCAAAAAGTAGAGAAATAATCAGTGTCATAGAGAAAAACGAATAAAAGAAAGGTGCGAAAGATAACATCTATACGTACTGTGGATTAGTTATATATTATTTAGTTAAATCTGTATTTGCAATAAAATCGACAACAGAACTGAAACTGGAGTCGGAAATCATTTTCTTTTTGCTCGGGTTACTGTACAAAGAAAAATATATGAACAGTTACTGTTTTTGATCCAAGTAATTAGTTACATAATAAGTAGCTAGAGAAGACTATGGAAAATTTACCGATGAATGATCCAGTTGGAACTTCTGGCATTAATTTCTTTCGTTGGTGGTGAATGAATGTACAGTTTACGGGATAACCAGTATAAGATCATTTCTTTAGCAGACTTTTTAAAAAATTGTTCAAATGTTTTGTGTACATATAGATAAAATACAAAAATTATAGAGGAAAAGATAAATAATTAGTTGAACCTTTTGGATTGTAAGTACTTTGTGTGTGTGTGTTGTGATACAGTTGCTACTTGTCATTCAAAAATGGTACACCGGTGTATATTTTGTTTGAGTTGTACATGTTTAACACTTCTTAGACTTTTAGTAGAACCATTGCCTTATATACACTAAAACCACTGCTATAAATAAAAGTACGTTAAAGTAATTTACATAGCACGAAACAAAGACGTCTGTAATGAAATCTTATTACATTTTCACTTTTCAGGATAACACCAGTTTTTATTCCTCACTTACAACATTACAACATTCAGGAGGAATTTTCACATGATGAATATGTCTTTAATACGATTATTTTTTGACTTTATTTCGATAAGTTTTATCTAGTAATCCTGTAAACTACTTCTGTAATGAATGGTGTTAATTTGTACAAACATACAATTTCTTACTACAACAGAAGTTCTGGATTCAAAACAAAAACATTGGAAATTCTTATTACATTTTTTGTATACATTAACACAATGTTATTCGTATGTCTTACTATATGTATATTTAGTGACTGTTTTTAGTTTATCATTAATAAAGCATTGAGCTTTAGATACATGTCTATATTACAGCTTACGCTGTGGGTACATTGTTCACCCAAATCATAACGTATATCCTCTGCAAGGTTGTGACCTAACTCTGCCATCAACTGGACAACTGTGGTCTGAGTGGACTATAACGTGCCTGGCAGGTAAAGCATTATTTAAAACATATACTACACGCTATACAGACCATGTTCTAACTAATTTCTAATTGAGAAGCTTAGAAGTATTAAATTGCAATGGTGAGGCGTTCTTTTGAGGCTTTATCATTGGATCTAAAACTTTCCCCCGTTTCAACTCACCCTCCTCCTCTTCAGGTAGTTGCTATTTATAAATAACACCCCTTCATCTAATTTAGTACGTTGCAATTTTCTTGAATCATAGCCCACTTTCTTATTCACCTGATTTTTTTTCTCTTTTGTTCTTGGTAAATAACAATGTATTAGTTATTAAGAACTGATGGTCAAAAATAAGCTAGTTATATAGATCAGAACTGAACAAAATTCAAATATAATTTATGAATTATGAAGACATTCCTGTATCATAAAAGGACTAAAAATAAAATAATCATAAATCAATACACCAAAAAACTTAAACCTACAATAATTAGAAGGTATTGAATCATCAGTTGAGTACGTCGAAGATAACGATATTTTGGTCGTAAACAATAACATCTCACGAAGGTTAGTCTAAGTCAACAAAGGAACACACAATTTTTATAAATGTAATATTAATTCAAAACATTATTCAAAATTATTTTGAACATCACAAGTAATAGGATTTTAAAAAACTAGCTATTTGATTATTTTATTGATACTTAGAAAATGCTTAAAATATTAGTCGTTTGCTAAGATCTGCGCAGCTTATCAATACATATATAAAATAAATATACAGTGTATGTAGTACATTAACGCACGTCGACGTATATATATTTACTGTTCATAGGGGATAAATTGTATAAGATTTCAATTACTTTGGGAGAAGAAAGTTTTCGTTCCTTTGTTGGATCCCAATGGGAACATAGAGAATACACCAGATTGGCAAACTTCTCAATACAGGATGAGCTAGGCAAGGGCGTTGTGATGTATGGTGAAAGGTAAGTTTACAGAACATTTGATCAAATGCATTTTAATTAAAGTACAATTGGCAGGTATCAGAGCTACTTCTATAAAATATTCATACACCTTTGTTTTCGTGAGTGAATTAGACGAAGTTCGCTAAGTAAATGTTTTTCTTTCAACTTTCGAAAAACATTGTTTATAGTTTAATGTTTTCTCTGCTGATCAGTGAAAATGAATAAACAATAAAATATATGCTTTATAGAGGGATAGATAGATTTGATAAATGGATAGATATACTTGAATTTTTTTTAACGTATACTCCTTATTATTATTATTTTTTTCATTCCGCTTGTAAATTAAATAATATATAATTTTAAAATATGCTACGTCAAAGTGTCGTTGCGTTAGATACGATTTCTTTAACAGGAAATGATGAACTTACAAACTCTGATGCAAAGAACAGATTCTACATGTTAACACTTCTCACGAATAAACAACTAAGTTTCTTCGGCTGATACTGGACACTGACATACACAAGTTTTGTGTTTTATGAAATACCTTGACGTATTATTTAGAAGAACCATAGTAGACACGCAGGTGTTTGGCGACAAGCTATTTATCGCTACTAAATGGATTCTCAATCTAAACAAAATGTAGTTAAGCAATATACTAATATTCACGCATTGGGACAGACAAAATGTGAGAAAAAGCAGTATCGCTGCATTTTGCTAAATAAGTTTTATTTTAGCAGTCATTAGGTTCTGTCAGATCTGTAATTGCTGGTAATCCTCAGCTTAACCATCTGTCAGAGACTTTACATTAAATTTTCTAGAGGTGTGCTGTGTGATATTCAATAAGTTGTTAGGTTTTTCAGGAATAAGTTCTCTTATACGGGTAGACAATCAGCTAGAAGTAGAGTTCATGTATTCCACCAGCACAGCCTCCATAACTAAAATTATATATGACAGATCACTGCTTATGTTTAGGATGACATCCTTAAAATTAAACGTTTTTTTATTATTCACACAACACCTTTAATTATACACACATCTAATTTGTATCTGTAGACAGACTTTTTTCCAGGATTGAAACTAATTTCTTTTTAACATATTGCTATTGGTGTCCTGCATATGGTAACACTTTAGATTTTAGGGGTGAAAGTTTATTAATCATTACACTGATATTAGTACTAATAAAGTTGTTCTTAAATTTGTTATGTTAACAAAAACGTTGTTCCATGCGTTGAGTTAATTGTTTTCGTCTTCAGATCTAGTAGATAGGGTGTCTAACTTCTAAGTTGATGTCATTTGTAACCAAAAAGTCCTATTTTTTGTTTAATGGATTTATTCATAATTAGGGTGATGTGGGTTGGTATGGGATCAAATCTTGCACTTGCTATCTATTGTTGATCTGTCATGAAAAACAATAGTTGGAAACTTATCCTGTTGATTTGAAACCCCTTCATTGAATATGAACATGAATCGAGTTTATCTCTCTTTTTTGGATCCTTTAGTACATGATCAGCAAGGGTAGCTTTAAAGTTGCTGCATGTCACACGTTGACTTTTACAAGTTATATGATGCTGCAGAAAATTTTGTTCTTAGAACACTTAAAGTTGCTACATATCACAAATCGAGTTTTACAAGGTATATGATGATGCTGAGGATTTTGTTCTTACAGCATTTAAAGTTAACTTTAAGCAATTATTCCTCGTTGCATGAAGGAATAAACGGCAATGTTAGTACTTTTTACATACAATATTAGTGATATTGGTGATATATTTAACGGATTGTCCACCACTCAAGTTGTATAGTTATATTTAACAAACAGTGTAACAGTGATACTAAAAGGAAAAAAAAAACAGAAGATCGTTTCAGTCTCAAGTAGCTTCTGTCCACAGATTAGATGTGTGTTTTACTTTGTTGTGACAATAAGAAAAAAACTTTTCATCTTAAGAATATCATCTCAGTCATGTAGCATATACAAAGTTACTTTTGCTGGCTGTATTTTGATGGAATCCTTCTTCTGGAGACAACGTTTTAAGTTTTATGTTGAGTCCATCAGGTCAATAGTGAGTGAAGAAAAGTAATGGTTCTTATGAGACGCAAATAGCTCAATCCTGAGGGAAGAATTCAGAAAAAATCACATGTCGAATAAACTGTCTAAGCCTACCTTCAAAGAAAAGCAATATGCATTTTTATTATATTGCTTATATATCATTGTATTTACTTCACCAAACTTCAATTTTCACTGGAATTTATTACGAAAAAAAAACTACGTTGGAATAGTAATTTGTTTTGTTTTTCATTTTTCATTTACTATAAAGGTCCTACAAAGTAATCATCTCTTCATTTATACCGATCATGTAAAGATTCTATAAAGTGATCATCTCTTCATTTATACCGATCATGTAAAGATCCTGCAAAGTAATCATCTGTTCATTTATACCGATCATGTAAAAATCCTATAAAGTAATCATCTCTTTATTTTTACCGATCATGTAGAGATCCTATAAAGTAATCATCTCTTCATTTATACCGATCATGTAAAGATCCTATAAAGTAATCATCTCTTCATTTATACCGATCATGTAAAGATCCTATAAAGTGATCATCTCTTCATTTATTCCGATCATGTATAGATCCTATAAAATCTTCATCTCTTCATTTATTCCGATCATGTATAGATCCTATAAAGTGATCATCTCTTGATTTATACCAGTCATTCCCAGATATTACGAAATGTACTGAACTTTGCTAAGTATATCATACTGTTTTATATGATATTATATATTACTGTGGACAATATAAAGTGATGCCGTGTGTTTTGTAACGTCACGCAAGCAGCGTTGCTTCTTTAAACTGTTATTGTAATTGGGCTCTGGAAACTCAGAATAACTATATGTATTTACTACAATATCTTATATGAACCCTCAAATATAACGAGCCTTTAAAAAGTTTGATTTTTTTTATTAATTAATTACTGATTGACGCACTCTTTCAAAGCACAAGGGGTATGAAAGTACAAAGTCCTCCAAGAAGTTACATAGACCGACCCTCCCCTTTAACTAAATGTTATATTACTTAAAAAGCGTTGTTTGTTTTTAACTAAATGTTATATTATTTAAAAAGTGTTCTTTGTTTTTAACTAAATGTTATATTATTTAAAAAGTGTTCTTTGTTTTTAACTAAATGTTATATTACTTAAAAAGCGTTGTTTGTTTTTAACTAAATGTTATATTATTTAAAAAGTGTTGTTTGCTTTTAACTAAATGTTATATTATTTAAAAAGTGTTGTTTGCTTTTAACTAAATGTTATATTATTTAAAAAGTGTTGTTTGCTTTTAACTAAATGTTATATTATTTAAAAAGTGTTGTTTACCTTTAAATGTAACATAGTTTTGAATTCCCATTAGGAACGAAATACCAAGACCTATAAAAGAAACAGAAAAAATCGAACACGTTTTTAATCTTGGTGAGTCGCTTTTCTTACCTACAAATTAATCTTTATATCTGAAACAACGTCTCTATAAGTTTAAGAATGTGATTCAAGTCATGGTTCCTAAACGTTTAAATTTTGTGACTAATTTTAACGTCGAAAAATATAAATCATAATGACACGTGCTACAACATTTATGTATAGTTAGTTGCATCAAATAGTCTTTAAAAAAACTTTTGTGTTAATTTTTAGATATGGTAAATCCTACATAATATAAAGGGGAAAACACATTATGTCAGGTAATATGCCAGTTAAGTATATCGTTGAGGGCTATGGTGTAAATACTCATGGGTATTTTAAAGAATCACTGGTTAAAACATCTTGCCTGAAACATTATTTTTTTTTGATAATCCTACAGACGCGTATATAGAATTTTACCACGAAAGCAACTATCGTTTTAAGCAGGAAAAGAAATAAAACTATGTAAGAGCTTATAAGAATAATTATTGTACGATGATTTGCGAATGAATATTAACTTTTGTTAGGAATAATTTTGAGTCTTTAGAGGAAAATATTCCATCTTATCTGTTTATAATATTGATAGTTTGTAGTTTGGTTTTTTTCACTAGGGTATCATTTCTATCCAATTTCTTTTAGTTGCTATTCAAAATCTTCGAGTATAAATGGAATATATTATTGAAATTTCATGAAGAGAGCTTTTGAATCTTAAACTGAAATTGAGTTGCATTTATGATAGTCACGTCTTGAGATTTCAAACGTATAAAATATACACATACCTTTATATATATGTATACATATATATAATATGTGAATATACTCTACGTATTTCACTTCCATAGCCTTTTTTTGCCTTACTGTATTCATGGTTTTAGATATAGGAGAGAAAGGAGATGTGGTCATTCCTCAGGTCTTAGAAATTAATGATTCTTGGTGCATGAGTTCGACAGTAGCTGGAGGGAAAGGAATGTCTGTGTCATGCTTAATGAAACTGAGTACTGAGACTGGACAGGTAAGCAACTTGCTTTGTTATTAAGTGGCATTTGGCATTATGAAAAGAAATGCTGTTTCTAGCATGCTTAGTGAAACTAATAGCAAAACTACATAGATAATCGAATTAGTAACGTTGTTAGTCGCGTTTGTTTAAACTGGTGTAAGCAAGGTGCTAAGATGCGTAAAAAAGCACAATAATAAAACACACTGTATTATGTATTTGTACTTATTTTAGCAAACTTAAAAGCAGTTTTTAGCATACTTGATAAGATTGCGAAGTGAAATTAGAGTAGAAAGCAGTGCAAAATTTATTCACGTCCACTTGGCTTTAATGAATGGGAAGTCGAATTTGTTTAATGAAACCGGGTATTGAAAATTGATGAAGTACTTTATGTATGTATTATTGTGGCATTTTACTTTAATAGCAGATAAACATGTCTATCAATGAACTATGATAAAGAAGTAAATGCATCTTATAAGCATTATCTTTATTGAATTATATAGCATTCGTTCTAAAGGTTTGTTTGTTTGAAGTTAAGCACAAAGCTACACAGTGGGCTATCTGTACTCTGCCCACCACGGGTATCGAAACCCGATTTCTAGCGTTGTGAGTCCGCAGACATACCGCTATGCCACTGGGGGCCGTTATAATGTGACGGTCAATCACACTATTCTTCGGTAAAAGAGCAGCTCAAATGTTGGCGGTGGATGATGATGACTAACTGCCTTCCCTCTAGCCTTAACTGCTAAACTAGGGACCGCTAGCGCAGATAGCCTTCGTGTAGCTTTTTTCGAAATTCAAAACAAACCAAATCTTCACAATAATTATTCACTTGCGCGGTGTCAAATTCTCACTCCCTTCTTGTTCCTACATTTCACTTGATCTCAGGTTTAGAGTCACAGATCTTTTAAAGACTCCTACTTAAAGAATTCTGTTGGGTAAAAGTTAAGTTTTTCTTATACTAATAGAGGTAAAAAAAAGTGAAAAATGCACGTACCTTAAACATACTTTTTGTTTC